ATTGTTTGAAGATGAAACAGAATCAGCATCTGGGTAAGGCATCTTTCCATAGTGTTTGAGACTGGAATTGTTACGGAGTAAAATTTGTTCTATCTCAAACAAAGTCAAGTTTTTAAGTTGATCTTCGTTTAGTGATAAACCTATACGGAAAATAATTTATTAATTAGAACGTATAAAAAAATAAGTTATTCTGATGTAAAATATAATTGGATTTATACTGAAATTGTATGTGATAATCTTTTAACAATAATGAGATAAAGTTATATTACCTGGAGACTTTAATCTCTGTTGTTGATTGTAAAGAATTCCATCTGATAGGTATTCCCAAGTGTTTTGCCAAACTATCTCTGGTTTACACAAATTGTTGGATAATAGCATCGTAGCAAATAAGAACCGTAGATAAAAACCAGATCCAGAAAGACTTGCTTCCTTAATTGCATCAATGAATTCTTTGTCATCATCTAAAAGGCCAAGAGTATAACATGCATCTTTAAAAGAAGAACATAGTTCACCATTGACTGTGAGAATTTCTTCAAATGATTTAGGACCTTTCACTTTATTTAAAAGAATTCTTAAGAAATATGCTTCTCCGAGTTTAGGTGAAACAGAGTGAATTCTACCAACTGCATATCCAACTTTCCTTGGCTTCCAAATAAGATCTTTACGATGCCAAACAAACTTTGTAGGAAATTCAACATATGTCAGTTTTCGTGCTTCTTTACTGATTTCATTACACTTCATCCAAGATGTGAACATTGAAGAAGCAACAGAAGTTCGGTCAAGAACATCTTCAATGTCATCGTCTGCCTCATATACAACTTGTTGTTGATTGGGAAGATGAAAAGATAGTCTAATCACAGCAGGATATCTATAATGAACATCGTATTTAAAAATCCGCCATGATGCTTCACATGCAGAAATATATCTACAATCATAGTATTCTTTAATTTCATCCACTGCATCATTGTTATCGGAATCATTATTGCTTGGCACCATAGATACAGTAGCTCTATCAGGACCCTTGTTTATATATTTAAACAAATACTTTATGGAAGATCCCTGATTGCACCATTCAACATTAATGTGTGCTTGATATCTTTTCAACAGATATTTGTTGTATGGAACAACATTTCTGTTATCTAACTGAACACCAGTTTTTTCTACAAAATGCCCATCATTTCTTCTCCGGTATAAGGGAAAACCATTTGAATCAATTGAAGTATGATCACAAAATTGCTTTGGAAAGTTTTTAGAACACTTTCCGTCGACCATGCATGGGCAATTCAAATTTTCAGCTCCACATGGACCATGAATCATGAACTCCTTGACAAGTGAATACAATTCTGGATCATTATCGATATTTGGAATCTCAGCAGAAATAATGGGATCGATATCTTCAACTGTTGGAAGCTTGCATTTAGCATGCATAAAGAGACATATATGACTATGCGGTAAACCTCTTTTTTGAAATTCAATTGTATAGACCACTGCATGCAAAATATACAAATAAGATATAAGTTTGCAACTAAAATTTGTATATATATATATATATATATATATATATATATATATATATATATATACAAGTTTAACTATAAATTGTAATACCTGCTTGAACCTTGCCGAAAATTTCATTTTCCCTTAAATCTTTAATGAATGCATCCAACTTGATCTTAAATAATCTACATAATATATCTGGTCTATCTTCTGGATGAAGTGGAGTGTCCTTAAGGAACCTTTGAAGTTCCGGCCATTTTGGATTACAAGTAAATGTTATGAAAAAATCAGGATATCCAAACCATTTACAGAGCGACATGGCATCCAAATAGTTTTGCATCATATAGCGTGCACCACCGGTAAATGAAGAAGGTAAGATCACACGTTTTCCGACGTTGGAAATATCTGTACTTCCAAGTGCTTGTTGATTACGCAAATTCTCATAAGACTCACATCTAAGAATTTTTTGTTGGGTACGTATGAAAAATAGCCTCTCACTTTCAATCATGGTATATCCATCAACCAAAAATTGTTGGAACAACCTTTTTGCATTAAGAATCAGTGAGAACGATTGATCCCTGTCTTGAATTCTATAAGCAAAAAATTCTCTCATTGTACAGGTTGGGCGCTTGCTATTACTTGAAGATGTAATACCTCTATGAAGGATATCAACTCTGTAACCATCATCGCCATATGGAAATAGTAATGGATACTGAAGAGCAAGGTAAGAAGGATGTAATTCATTGATACGCTGTAAAAATCCTGATGAATTTTGAACAACGATATCTCTTTTTTCAATTGAATCACAAAAATCACCGACAACTAAAGCTGCAACCTCAGAAGAAGTTGGTAAGTTATAGGTTCTTCCATCTTGTTCTCTTTTTCCAATTAATCTTAACTTCAAATTAGCACAAGGATTTTCATGAAGAGTGTCTCTTACCATCCTATAAGACTTGACCAACGCATTGTTCGAATCTAACATAACCTTCAAAAATTCTATAATTTGGAGATCATATGATGTTGAAGTTAACGTAGAATCGCTCGTCGAACCACTGAAAATATTATGGACAATTATTTATTATTAGTAAAAAAAATAATGAATTGAAATGAGTTATTAAAAGATAATTGCAAAAATATACCCAAAAGTTGTCGATCTATTTGAAATCTCGTTCTTCGTATCGTATATGTATAACTGACAGAATTTTGGTCTTGAACCAAGTGTAGGTAAAAGACTTCCTATACTATAATAATTTTGACCACTAAGTTTGAATATGTAAGGTGCGTTGCCTCTGTTGATGGATGAATCAACTTTGCCTCCCATTGATGTAAACGAAAACATTGAATTGTAACGTCGAATGTTCTTCATGAAGTGTTTGCTTTTTGAATCTACCGATCTATACAGATTTCGGTAGGATGACGGTGCTTCCTTTAAGGGTGGTAGCTCAACTTTGCCGTAACCACAACATAGGGAATAAGACGTATTATTTTTTTTTTGCCCTCTAATCGATTCATCTTTCCATAATTTTGCATGACAAATCTGACATATAATAATCTGATCTCCATGACCAAAGTAATCTATTGTATGCAAAAAATATAAAAATTAATAAATAAAATAGAAAAAAAATTAGAAAAAAATTTAATAAAATTTAAAATTTCGAATTATGATCACCTTTGGATATACCGTGAAAAATATCTTCAATAATATGATCATCTATTTTTTCTTCATCTAATGTCAAGTCAAACATAGGTATAGCGGATATAGATGAAGTCTTTCTTTTTAAATGATGTTTTCCTCTTGGTAACTTGATTGATGAAGAATTCTGGATTATTGTCGAACGATTGCTAGATGTTGTGGCATTACCAAACACTAAATTATTTTTGTTAATAGAGAGCGGTGTTTGAAAGTTATTATTGAATATATAACTGCCTGAAAAAAATACAAATCACAACGTTAGCAATAGGTATGACTTATATAAAAATTGAAGCATATATTTTTAATTTGGTGTATTTAGAAATACATACCATTTGAAATGTTAGAAAATGGTGTTCTAACATTTATATTTGAAATGTTAGTGGATACAGTGGCGGTACTAAACAAAGAATTATCTTTGTTAGTAGATAGTGGTGTTCGAAATTTATTATTGAAAATATAATTGCCTGACAAAATTAAAATACAAATTAGAAAGTTAGGAATTGAAATGAGTTATATAAATGTGAATAATATATTTTTATATTTGTGTATATAGAAATACATACCGTTTGAATTTGTTGAAGGATGATCAATAATTGTATGTTGATATACAAATGATTTAACTGGATTTATATTTTCCTTGTCTAAGGTAACACCTGTATAATTATTTGTAGATATTAATCTTTGACGACGATTGTCTGTTATATAATAAGAAAACATAGTTAGTAATAAAAGAAATAATATTAATTATTAAAAAAGAATAAGTTAAAGAGTCATAAAATTTTTATATAATTTTTATATTAAAAATAAATTTAAGTCAAAACGAATATACTTACCGTTATTCAAAGATGAATTTTGAGGGGTTGATGATGTATGTAATATTTTGGATTTTTTATTATCCAAATATAATTTTCTAATTTTTCTCCTCTCTTTAGCGTTTGTAGGTTCTGTAGTTTTCTTTGAACCTGTAAAATAGTATAAAACAATGTATTTGAACCAGTAAAGTTAAATATATATTTATTTAAAGTTAAATGTATTTTTTAAAATATTAATAAATAACATATTCAAAATAAATTAATAAAACTTATAATTAGTGAAAAATAAAGTAAGAAAAATACCGTATTGGGTACAATGAATAACATGTGCAATAGGTGTACGATGAGACAATGATGTGGTATATTGTTTTTTGGATTTTCTGTTATCAAAATATAACTTTCTGCGTTTTCTTCTCTCTCTAGCGTCCGTTGCATTCATGTCCTTGTTTGGTGTGTAATGAAAATAATAGAATATAGTTAAAAATAAATTTAATAATTTAAAAATAACTGTTACAGAAATACAGTTAGAGGCTATTGGCAGCTCATGTAATATGTATAAAGTTGAGTAATAATGAAAAGGTAAATAATTTGGGGCCGGAACAGGTTAAAGGATATTCATATGATAATGATAATAACAGTTTGAAATTAGGTACCCGTTTACTGAATGTTAATTCTGGCAAAAAATGATCATTCCGGACCAAATGGTCATTTTGCCCAAAAGAAGTATAATTAAAAAAAACCAAAATAAATGGTTACATTTTTAAATCATAATAAGTATTAAACATCTAAATGTAATTAAATAATCAATATCGAAATGCATGAATACTTTATACAAATCGTTAAATATTAGGTTTATAAAAATCAATTTACTTTGCATATCACACTTAATATGTACGTATTATTCAAAATTTAGATTTAAGTTATTTCCCTTTCAAAACCAATAAAATAAATGGATTTATCATTTAAGTTTACTTTAATTAATTTAATCACTAAAAGAATGTTTATCCCGATGTTTTAATCACTTACTATAACAACTTCATATATGTCTTTTTGGGAACACGATGTAAAAGAGAAAACTGAGAACGGAACATACCTGCGAAAACGATGGAGGCCCTTGTGCAGAATCAAACGGGAAATCCTGGAAAGAGGATCAAGTTGCTGCTGTTACAGAACGAAACCGGTAAGTTTGGTCTAATATTGAACCGGTGATAGGCTTCTCAATAGGCGTATTGAATGGGTAAAAATTAGGGTTTTTTTTTATGAAGATGAAATCTGCTCGAAGACAATAGGATAAATTTCTGCTTATTTAATCCAGAGGTAATAAGAACTCTTTATGTATGTGAAAAAATTTAAGATTCCGAATATATCTCTGAAAAATTTAAGATCCCACTAATGTAATTCGAATTTCGTATTTCATAAAGAGGAGGATATGTTATATATTTTTGATTAATTAATAATTATTATTAAATTTGAAATTCTTTGTTTTAAAAAAAATAGATGTTGGTGGAAGATAGTAGAGGCGACGTTACCTAAAGTTCAGAAATTAAGTAACATGATTCTCAAAAAAGAGCAGGAGGTTGATACTGCACCAACTAATAACAAACCAGGACTTCCTGATGCGATTCAGATAAGTCATGAAGACGGTTTTAATGAAAAAAAATGGAGGAGTGTCTACAAATGACACCATTGGAACCCAATCTTGATAAAACTCTATAAGTGCTTGTAAATATAACAGATGCTGAGACTCGATAAAGTTTCAACAATGAAAACAATGATTCTATCTCATCTTCTAATCAGACAATCTTCACAATTCTTTGTTCTTATATGGCAACTTCCACAATTAGTATCAAGAAATCTGATGTGAGTTTTTTTTATTAAATACCCAAATCATGTTACAGGATGAAGATGCTACAACTCCAACATCCTTTACTCATAGAAGTTTTCTTCCATTCTTGATGACTGTTTTATGGGATGATTCTGGTAATATTTTACTTAAGTTAGATTCATTTGTTACAAAATATTTACAATCCATGTTGCTAATTTAGGTCAAGTTACTTAAGTTAGTTTCCTTATTCTTCCACCACCACTACTAGAAAATAGCCCTTTAATGACGTGCAAGCAATGACACTCGCTGATAGAGGACGCGCATTTGTGTGTGCCCTAAAAAATAATGTCAATTTTGTAAAATTTGAAGGATTGTAGACACGCATTTGTGCGTGCCCTAAAATTAAAAGAAAAAAAAAGAAATGCGGAGGGTGCCTTTCATAAAATGTGCGTCCTCTAAATGTGTTGCTTTATAATTTTAATGAAACATGCGTTTTTAAGGCGGGATTTCACCCACCTATTGAATCCCAAAAATTAAACCCCCCGCCTCTTCCAACTAGCAAGAAAAAGCCCTAGGGCCTTCGTCTTCATGGCCGCCGCTTCAGAGAACGATACTGTTGATATCTCTACCGTAACAACAACCACCATCAATATATCTAGAAGCACCAGATCGTGCCATTACACCTCAAACCATCTTCCCTGCAAACCATCGACTGCTATCTCACTTCACCTTTCTTCATCTAACAGAGCAGAAGGAAGAGGGAGATGGCGAACATAAAAGGGTCGAATAACAAAATCACACGAACCGATATTGATATTAATTCTAGGGCTTTTTTAAGACTCAAAACACTCGCTCACTCAGTGCTCTATAGCATCGATCCGGCGACCTGGCCTCACCTTCAGGCAACCCTTTGCTCACTTCTCCTCATTGACGATCTCATGCTCACATGACCTCAAATTCCTTTGTTTCAATCTTTTGCAGAAAGCCCAAATACATGCTCGCCCCGTTTTTGACGCTCAGAAACGATCAAGGGAAAGCGCCTTGGTATGTGAGAAGATCTATTTTTGGGAAATAGGGGATTTTGGTTCTACGAGTTCTTATAACCCTAGGAATCAAGAACCCTGTATTCTCACACCGGATTCATAGTTGAAGTCTACCGGAGACTCGGAGAGGAAAGTGTACGGATGAGCCCAATGGGTCGGGGAATAGCAGAGGAAGCGCTAGTCCTTCTTCGTAAAAGACTAAGTGATCTCAATTTCATCTTCTCCCTCTTCTCCTATTGTCCCGACAGCAACTACAGGTTCGATTGATGCTTATTCGAATTTTCTATATATCTTCTAATTATATATACGTGAATATTATAATCCATTTTTTTCTTGTCCTCCATTATGAAGTATTTAAGCTCTGAACAAATTTCAGCAAGTTGAAATTTATCTATCAAGTTCGATAACTGAGGCTGTAACATATTAGCCTCTTTTATTGGGGTTTCAATGAAAGATGAATCAGATTCAGAAGTATCACAAAGCTGAAATGCAGCACGAGCTCCTTCAATATCTCCTGTTTTCTATTTCTATACACATTATATTTTAAAATTGGTAAGCAATGTGGTTTTTGTTGTTTTTGGGCAATCTGTTACACTGTTTCTTTTGCATTGACTTGGGTATCTCCTCTTCAATTGCTATCTATATAAGTGTGTGTTTGTTTATTTACTTAATTTTATTATTAGGTAAGAGCAAGGGAAGCAAAGCTTAATCTGGGTTGTGGAGAAGGAGAAGGGAATCTGCTTGAAGGGTGGGGCATCCATATACATTTCCCAGCAGGAGTAGTTCCAAAAGATGCTTCATCTGTATCCCACTTTGAAATAATAGCAAATTAGCAAACATATATGCAGAAACAACGAAGTGTTTTTGTAAGTATAATGTATTGACTACATTTTGTTGATTTTGGACTCTTTGTATTTGCAACATCCATAAATTTGTACTTAAATCCAAAGGTTCAATCAATGAAGTTAATCAAATTGCACAGGTTGATGATCCACGTGTGGTGCTAATCAAGCTTGCAGACCGTCTACACAACATGAGAACCATGTATGACTTGTTTCCATATCTACCATGAATCTTTGCATTGCATGATCCCGACAAGAAAAATATTTTTGATAATTCCATTTCAAACTCGAGTGATTTTAATTTCACTGTTACTTCTCTTGTTCATTGGTTGGTAAAGGTCTTGGAAAGTAGAGAAAATTCATTCTTTTTTTTTTTTTGTCAAGGGAGGTTTACCACTCTATTCAATAAGTTATTCACTCACTGCAATGCTTTAACTCACAGTTTACACTCTCTTGCTTTCAGTTATGCTCTACCTTCGGGCAAGGCTAAAGCTGTAGCACAGGATACTTTGGTCATTTGGTGCTCTCTTGCTTCCAGATTGGGCCATTGGGCTTTAAAAGCTGAACTTGAAGACCTCTGTTTTGCTGTTCTTCAGGTCAGTGGTTTCTACACTATAAAGCTAATTTAGTGATGAATCATGAATGTGTTCTAATGCATGATATTTATCTCAAGTGTTCATTCTACGCAACTAATGATCGAATCATATGTTGCATGTGCTAAAATAAGATTCCAACTAATACTTGTAGTGTGTGCAGCCTCAGATCTTCCAGCAAATGCGATCTAACCTGGCCTCCTTGTGGACACCCAGCAGCAGCAGTAGCAGGGTAGGCAAACTGAGAAGACTATCATCCAAAAGTAGCTCAAATCCTGAGTATGAAGCATCAACAGAAGATGTCGTAGTCAGCATGAAGGTAATTCCCCCTCATTTCTTCCCCTTATATATATACACTACTAGGTGTTTGACTTTCCATTAGATATATTTAATTAGGATATGAATTGGTGACTCCTTTTTTCAACCCACAGGATCTTTTGCAGGCTGTTATTCCATTTGATCTCCTGCTTGATCGAAGAAAACGTATTAAATATATTCAAGATCTAGGGTCATGCTCAGAGGTCCAAACAAAACCAAAAGTCGTGAGGGATGTTGGGATTGCCCTAGCATCTCTGGTCGTTTGTGAGGAAGAACTAGAACGCGAGTTGTTTATATCAACCTCGTAAGATCATGTGAGATAGATCTTCAGCCTTCAGTCTTGTTTACCCTGCCTTGACTCTGGTGTGCTTGTCATTCTTACCTGTGCAGCTATGTTCCTGGAATGGAGGTAACCTTATCTAGCCGCCTTAAAAGTTTGTACAGCATCTATAGTAAGGTAGGTATAAGTGATCTCCATAAATAATCTTAGAAAGAATACATGATTCAGTTATGTAGATGATTATGCTAATATTTCTCTCAGATGAATCGTAAAGATGTGAGCATTGATAAAGTATATGATGCACGTGCACTGAGAGTAATTGTTGGAGATAAAAGTGGAACTTTACATGGACAAACTGTCGAGTGTTGCTACAGTCTTCTAAATATCATACACAAGTTTATACTTTATATAAGTAGCATAAAATGGATAACTACATGCTAAAACTTATTATGCCCAGACAAGAAGAAAAAAAAATTCTTACTCAATTTATAAGTGACAGATGTGTAATATAAATAAAAGTTGTTTGGTTCATCTTCCGCAGGCTTTGGACACCAGTTGATGGCGAGTTTGACGATTACATTGTCAATCCAAAGTCAGGCGGATATCAGGTAAAGATCTATCTCACTATACTTTTTTGTATGCTGCTGATATTAGGTATACCTTTTCATATTTGTGTGAGTAATGCATGCCGTTTCCTTCTTATCTCTTCTTTTTGTCAATGCCCACAAATTCTGACTCTCTTTTTATACGGTCTCTGCATACTGCAGTGCATGGTCCAGAAAACTCACCCTTGGAAGTCTAAATAAGAACGCAGGTATACAATATATATATATATATATATATATATATATATATATATATATATATATATATATATATATATATATATATATATATATATATATATATATATATATATATATATATATATATATATATATATATATATATATATATATATATATATATATATATATATATATATATAACAATTTTTTTTAATAGAGCATGCATGAATATGTTGAGCATGGAGTTGCTGCCCATTGGCTTTACAAAGAAGCTGGTAATAAGTTGTCTGCGAAGAGCAATGTAATTGGTTCGGAGATTACATCATCCTCATATCTCTCGAATGACATGGAAGATAAAAGTCCAATTGAAGATGATGTGTTTCACAAATATAGGTCTCAAAAACCAGGAGATCTGGTCCTTAGAGTTGAAGGAAGCCATTTGTTTGCTGCAGTAATTGTCAGGTATTTAAAATCATGTTTCTTTTTTTAATTAATGCTTGACATGGTTTGATGACACCTGCTGCTATTCATAGTGGATGATGATGGAAGGGATCTGCTTGTGGCTGCGAGCTTCGTACTCGCTGCTTCTAAAGCAGTTGCGGATAGAAGATCTTCTTCTCAAAGAAAGTGGTGGGATGCTTATGCAAGATTGTACAAGAAGGTTGATATAAACGTCTCCCCAGATGTGGTGGTGAGGGTATTACAGAGAGGGGGGGGGGGGGGGGGAGAATGAATTCAGATGTAAACGTCTCCCCAGGTGTGGTGGCTGTATCTGTTCTTGTCATCCTTCTCAAAAGGTAATTAATTCAAATTTGCATGGTTATAATTGTCATTTCACCTCTCATTCTTGCTTTTAAAATGGTAAATTTTGTTTGTTAGGTTTTTTACCGGACACAAAAAGGACGATAAGGATCAAGTGGAGTTTATTGCAGGGAAAACTAGTCTTGGGGATGCTGTTGATGGAGCAATCAAAATTTTCACTATTGCAGAATGTATTTAGCAACTAGTATTTACTTCATGTATTTTTATTATGTTTCCTTTTTTACCCTTCTTCTAATTTGATGAATCTTTAGGTCATGATTGTTGTTGTTGCGGTTCCAGAAGGACTTCCATTAGTTGTCACATTAACGTAAGTTGAACATTTTCTTATAATTATTAATCCAGTTCTTTTAAATGAGTTTCTGATTAATAAAATATAAATCATGTTGCTCATAATTACAGGCTGGCATACTCGATGCGAAAAATGATGTCGGATAAAGCGTTGGTAAGTTTTATAATTTTGTTTACTATAAATCTCTCAGGGGCATTTTGGTAATTTTCATGTGCAGGTTCAGAGGCTATCTGCTTGTGAAACAATGGGTTGTTATATATTTGTTGATTAATTAGAGTTGATTAATGAAGTTATATATGTTGCATGTGAATCGATACCAATCAGGTTGTTTTTGAGCCCATATGAACTAACACCAACGCATAAGAATATTAAGATGAAATTTTGTTGATTATAAGAAGATGAAATTTTTGTGCATTAACATTTAGTTTATGCAGGCATCAACAAAGATTTTGGCACGCCAATTGGTGAGGCTTAGACAACAAATAGCCAACCTACAAAGTAGTCGGGCTCAAATGAGGGGCATAACAACACATACACAGGTAAATTTTCAAATGGAAACTTGTTTCTTTTTTGTCATAAATAAATTATACCACATGATTGAGTTTCTATGGTTTTAACTTCTCCCAAGCATTAGCTGCACACTCTTCTGTGGCTGTTGGGATGAAAGGTGCTACCAAGGCAATGGCAGCAATGAATAAGGTTGGTTATACAACAACATATATATATATATATATATATATATATATATATATATATATATATATATATATATATATATATATAATGTCCTGGTTAGTAAATATTTGTAAGTATAATGCTATACATTGTCATGAGATTATCAATGTAGCCCTACACTACACTTTTCTGAGGAAGGTAATCCTCAACTACGTTTTTTACCACTGGCATATTCTCAAGTCACTAGAAAACGACCTATTTATTCTCAACTGCATGTAAACCACATTTTACATGTCATATTTTAATTAACAGGAGACACTGTTAAGTGTTATGTGTTAATCTCCTATATAATGTTTTCATGCAGTTTTGAAACTTTATGGAACTTGGATCTGTTATATGGTATCATTAAAGAAGTGGTCAAAGGTTTGACTTCTATTATCTAGTTGATGATCTTTATGTTTTCATGTTTCTTTTTATTCCTTCTTTCCTCCATAGTCCTCCTTGCAGATTTCTGTAAACCCTAGAGGAATTCTGTCACCACTTCCTTCACAATCATTCTACGATTTCCAAAATCGTTATCCTTCTGATTCAAAAGACACTGACATGGATCTACCAAGTCTAGCTGTAGGTATATGTTTTTCTTAATGAATAATGTAATCATATGTATGAATATGAAATAAAGTTTGTTATTTAGTATGTAATAATCATGTATAGGGAGAAAACAACTTCTATTGATTTGTTTTATCTTTCTAAGGATCGATTATTTGTATGATATTAAATTTTATGCAATGGATTGTATTTTTTGTATATAGTATTTTATTTTTTGTTATGAGACATTAAATGAAAATTTAATTTGAAAATTAGTAAATCTATAAATAATATTTTTTTTTAACATTTAAAATTACGATACGCAAAAATGTGTGTCATCTTCATTTATGACATGGCCGTTCTTGACAGGGGCTTCCTTGACGCACTGTGTGTCATAACACACGCGTCGTAAGGTTACGACGCGCGAATGCGTGTCGTCTTTCTTTATGACAGGGCCTTCCTTGATACGCATTACATGTCGTAAACGCGCGTCGTAATTGCGCGTCGTAAATGAGCGTCGTAAATGCGCGCCGTCTATAGAGGACGCGCAAAAGCGCGTCGTCTCTCTTTATGACAGGGCCTTCCTTGACGCGCATTTGCGCGTCGTCTGAGCCTTTTATGACGCGCAATGAGCGTCGTAAAAGGCTGTTTTTCTAGTAGTGCACCATCGATTTGTTGGTTTACAATTTTTGTTATCATAAATACAGTTCACTATTGAGTTTTATTGTGAAAAAAAAAATAGTTTGTAACCTAATTATGTCATTAACCCTTCAAATATTTACCCGATTTCACTTATTTCTATGAATTTGCACAAAAATCAACACTCTAATGCATACTATTCTTAGTAGTGAACAAAAGCTTGATTGTTTGAAATTGATTGCGTCTTCTATGTATGCATTGGTAAATTATAATTTTAATTTTTATATGTTGTGCGAGTTGTAAAAGATATATAATCGTTTTTAACCATAAGAGCATCTTACTTTCATTTTTATAATAATAATTGTCCATTTTATTGTGATTAAAAGTTATCAACCCATATTCCACTTTATGGGCATAATTATCATTTAATCGTCCTCTTATTAGTCGAGGAGCATATAAGTACTTTAAATATAATCATATTTTAACATATCAGGGGCATAAAGGTAAACTTGCTAAAATTGCATAATGCTTATACGTAAAAGTATTACTTTAATAATTTCTTGATGTTCAAAATTTCATAATGATTTCTGTTTTTTATTATTATTATATTTGCAGATCGTTTCATTCAAAGATATCAACTTTGTTTATGACACATTTTGAATTTTGAGATTGTTAATGACTAAAAAGTCCCTGGAATGGGTATGCCTCTCTCTTTCATTCCTGCGAAGTATTGTCTTGATAAAATAATATTCATAATACATCTGGTAATTCATGTTATTAAAATGGACTCATATTTATTATTGCAGCTGAATTAAAAAAGAAAAGCAACAAACCAAAGAGACCAACAATCAAGTCACTATTCGGTATGCTTCTTTATTTATTTTTCTTTTTGGGTAATGCAACAAAAAAATGATTTTGTTAACTTGGTATTCTTCATTTTTACAGAGGAAGGGCCAGAAACAGAGGCAGTTACAACATCTTATGGTGACATTACTTCTTCTGATCACTAAAATTGGTGATGAATATATGGAGTGGGAGAATCTTTACACCATGGATAAAAGACATAATCAAATTATAAACGATCATATACAGGTATGTTTATTTATTTTATATTAATTCTCGTCACGTGTGAATCCAAGATTTATGTTATCAATAACTATCCGTTTTAGGGATACTATTATTAATGTAGGATGAAACAACCATTTTAAAAATAATAAGAATTCAAAGGAAACAAATGTTTGAACAATGAAAAACCACAATGTGAAAAAAACAGAGTGAGAAAATTAAAAGAAGCAATCGTTAATGTAAATGCAAAACGGAATACCAATTCAATTTCCCACCAAAAGATAAATCAATCATTTTTCTTCAACTTTACCTTCAACAACTGTTTTGTTGGACCATCTGGAGATATTTTTGGAGTTTTTGTTGACGATAAGTGATCATTACACTCCAGATCTAAAACTTCTTTCAGATTTCTCTTTAAGATTGGTGTTGTCGTTAAAGTCTTCATCGGGCTTGTTGTTTCGTTTTTGTCAAGAGTGGAAGGAGTAATGTTATCATCCGTTCCAGAAATTGCATCCTTATAAAAATTAATCATATAATATAATAATTGTAAAATAGGAATAATTTATGAGGGAATCTGTGAAAATGTTAATGTGTAATTAACCTTTGCATTTTTGATATCTTGAGATTGCAAATCGGCTGAACCAAAATCTAACGATTGTTCGTTAGAAGGCTGTATGTTACATAAAAGTGTCAATAAAATAATGTACTAAAAAGTAAAACAATATATAAAAAACAATAAAAAATTAGTAATTTAATAACCTGTGAATCGTTCAACTTTGTTTGAAGTTGTTCTATTATACTCGCATCCTCACTGATTCTAGCAATACCATACTGGTTGTTTTTTTTGGACACATTGAAATTTGTAACAGAAACTTTAAAGGCCAATTTCAAACCTTTCAATGCATTTATCTCATCCGGATAGAAATCAAGACTATCTCCACGCTGCAATTAATAATAATAAAAAAAATTGTTTAAAGTGATTGTATATAAGAATATTATTTTGAGTATGATTAAAAAAAGGCGCGTAACCTCGATAGTTTTTTTAACCAACTATTTTGCTGATTGCTTCAACAGATATTTTCCATCTCTCTCAAACATAGTTAGGGTTAGAGTTCCAGTATTATCTTGCACGCGTATAGGAATCATGAACCTATCAAAATAAAAATTCAAAATGTGTCATAAATTTATGTTAAACATGGATTATTACATAGTTAATTATTAAAGAATTGTAAAGTAATTATAAAAGAATTGTAAAGTAACAACCTTGGAACAACGGAAGTGGTATGTTTTGTACAATCTCCATTATGACATACATAAGATGTGGGTTGTCGATCATCACTTCCATCAGATGGAACTGCTTTCCCAAAACAGTTGGTACATGCTTTATAATACCATGTTTTATTCTGTAAAATTCCCTTTATAGTGCCCACTATAACGAAACTACATTTCTACAAATGAAAGGTGTGTACTTTTAACATGCATACATAACACAAACATAAAAAAGCACAAACTCACAATAAAGATGGTTAAAAACAACAATTTAGATTGAAAGAAACAATAAGACATTAAATACCTCAACAGGTTCCCAAACCTCAGAGATAGCATTCACTTTATTTTTTATCATGAAATCATCATATTCAGAAAGTTGTTTTGATGGAATAACTGAAAATGTATTTGTCGATGAATCTGGACCATCATCTCCATCCAAACTGTTATGTACACAAAAAAAACATATTAGTCACGTAAAGTATAAATGTACAATAAACACAATTATGCATAAATTACCTTTTGTTGAAACGAATAATTTCATCTATGTGAGAGTTAATGAACAACTTTGAAGAGGTAAAGTATGTGTTTACACTTGGACGATCTATAAATAAAATATATAAAGATTAATTTGATCGTGACAAAATAAATATTAATAACATTAATAAAATAATCAATATACCTCTGAAAACATTAATCTGACCAAATTGAAGAATAACAACGATACGACGATTATGTGGATTGTTATGTATATACTCTTGCATCTTGTACGCATAATCGCCCCACAAATAGACATGAAGTTGCAAGCCTCTGAAAAGTAAATTATTTATAAAAAATGAGATATTAACATAATATAATTTAAAATTTAAAAAAAATGTAAAAATATAAAAAAAGCAACTTTGCATCTTGGATGTTGATGTTGATCTTGTGTTTAGATTTATCTGGATCATGTCGTTGTAGCTCAGCAACTGCGGCAACTAAACCCATAACATCTATAAAAATAAAAAAGGAAAATGAAACTTATTATAGGATTTGGAAAATATTTTATTATATTTAAAGATATAATGATATGTACTAACCAACAGATTTATCTTGAGGATGGCCGAATGATAAAATGTTTTCATAATCAAAAAATGAAAACCCAAACTTATGTCCAGAAAAATCGATACACTCTGTAACAACAGTTTGTTGGCCGAATGTGAGTTTCTGATCTTGAGGAGTTAACCTAAAAGTATCTATCTTCAGTGCTGCAAAGTCTGGACCTTTGATGTAAAATGCCATGCCTTCCTTTAATATATTTTTGAATCGATATATGTTTCTTTTTGAAACTGTTGTTTGGATTTTGTTTCCCTAAAAATATTTAATACAACAATAAAAACTTTAGAAGTAATTAAATATAACGAAATATGTGTAAGAAATATATCAAATTAAGTTTTGGAAGGTATTTTTTCATCCAATAAGATCATTTCAATTGACCAAATTTCAGTTTTTTTGTTGAAACACATTTGATGCCAAAGGTTTATGACACGAAGCTTGAAGGTCAAGTCATCCCTGGTTACATCCAAATCAGGTATGAAGGTAAGATTTGCTGCTGCCATTGAACTGCAAAAAATAAAATTGTTAGAAAAAAAAAGATTTGTTATAAAACTGTTAGAAAAAAATAATATGATGATAGAATATGATAATAACAAAATAACACAATAAATAATATTACATTGCTATTCGAGTAAAAGAATGAAAACTTAACAGCTGTTGATTAAAATTGTTCATCCTTTTTTTCATTTTTATTTGAGTCAATATATATATATATATATATATATATATATATATATATATATATATATATATATATATATATATATATATATATTGATTGTACAATCCTATTGAACATGCAGTATGATGTAGACATGGTAGACATGCATGAAAATAAATTGGACAATAGATATGGGGTTCATAGAATATTCAAACAGGGATAGTAAGTCGGATTTAAAAAAATATATATGATAGCAGTATCAATCAATGAAAAGAACACTTATTATTTATGATATAAATTATACTGATATTATTTAAAAGTTTTGATTGAATATATGTTTACCACTATCAATCAATGAAAAGAACAATTATTATGATGCAGATATTTGGGACTATCCTTCTTGGCGGATTACTTAAAAGTTTTGATTGATTCTCTGTTTAGCAATACAGGTTGTTTGCTTACATGTAATAATCGGATTGAAGAAGAAGTAGAAGAAGAAGGATTTCAAATTAAAAAATCAAAAGAATGAACACTGATAGTTGAAGATGATATGCTAACCTGATGATTTTGGTTTTCTGTGACAGAAACTTCTGTGAATGAAAGTGCAGTTCTGTCGAATTCTGTGGAAAGCGTTAATATTAAGATGATGATATTACCGATTACTGATAGTTGATGTATATAATTTAGCCTATAAATCAGGAATCAGTATCAAATATTTTGAATTGATTCAAATTCCGGTAATTAAGGATGTTTAAGATATTTAGGATATATATTTTAGGATATAAATCACATAAAATAACGAACTCTGCATTTATAATTTTTGCATATTCTGTTCCTATTTTTATGCATATAAACTCCAGCCATTTTTTTTCTTAATTATGTTGATTTATGTTGATGCTGATAATTATGCTAATATGTAGGGTTTTGAATGTGAACGAAATATCTTGGGATTATATTGGCGGGAAATGAAGATGTAGAATTCTGAAGTAATGACACGTGGCAACATGTTGTGCTAATAGTTGGACAAGTGGCATTTAGTATAGTGTTTTATTAGGTAGAGAGATATAGATTACATTAAAAAAAAGTCAGGGTGCTTTATGAGTCACGAACAGACAATTTTCACAAGGCTTCAGTTTCATTCAAGCAGCACCATTTGTGAATTGTTACTCAATTTTCACAACGGCAATTTTAGGGTGTTACCTATTACTCAATTTTATTAATTTTGTCATTTTGTGAATTGTGATTAACATATTAGTTTTTTTTTTTTTTTTTTTTTTTTTTTTTTTTTTTTTGAAATTCTAATACTTGTTAATAGATGATTTATAATTTCCAAATTACAAATCCCATGAATTGCTTCACTTTTAGGATTGTTAATAACTTAATTATTGATTACAACTATTTTAATAATATTGAATAGTTACTGTGTTTTTTTTTTTTCAATTATTACTTTTGATTGCCTTATTCTTATTTTTAAATAGGCTTTTTTTTTTTTTATTATTATTGTTGTTCATTTGTTTGAATATTTTATTGTTGTTTGTGAATTGGTGTTTATTTCAGAAATTAAAATCAAGAATGTTTTTATTCATGTTTTTTAAAAAGATTGATAAAAAATAACGAGCAACATAAACATATGAGAGTTGATTTAAGTTCACTACTTATTGACCCGACATAACGACCAAGTATGAAGTATTATCATGTGAATCAAAGAGATGAAATTAGAAGAATATACTTGCAAAAAGGACCTTTTCAACCTCAAAACTATAAGTTTCCACAACGTGCTTTTGGAGGTAAACAACGAAGATTCAATATATCTTGGTTTGATGACAATATATATTGGTTAGAATATAGTATAAAAGAGAATGTCACATTTTGTTTATGTTGTTATCTATTTAAATCCGATATACCAAACCAAGGTGGATCAGATCATTTTGTGAAATCTGGTTTTAAAGCTTGGAATAGGAAATTAGGACTAGATGATCATAAAGCTAGAACTCCACATATTATTGTTGTCCAAAAGTGTCAAATTTTGATGAACCAAAGGCAATCCATAACTACTGCTTTTGAGAAACAAACCATTTTGCAAGAAAAAGAATATCGTATTCTTTTGAATGCTTCAATTGATTGTGTTAGATTCTTATGGCGTCAAGGATTGGCATTTCGTGGTCATGACAAGACGGATGACTCAGATAATAAATGTAACTTTCTTGAATTCTTACAATGGTTAGCTTATCGATGTGATGTGGTAGATCGTGTTGTGTTAAAGAATGCTCCAAAAAAAAAATACTCAATTGAAATGCAGTGATATCAAGAAAGATATTGTGCATGCATGTTCGGATGCAACAATAAATGTTATTATGGAAGATCTTGGAAAAGATTTTTTTGCAATTTTGGTAGACGAGTCACGTGATATTTCTTGTAAATAACAATTGGCATTAGTATTGAGCTTTGTAAAAAAAAGGGGGAAGTTGTAGAAATGTTTGTTAGCCTTAGACATGTTAGTGACACTTCAACTTTGACACTAAAGACAACCATTTATGATATGCTCTCAAAACGGAATTTAAGTAATACTAGCATTAGAGGGCAAGGCTATGATGGTGCTAGTAACATGAGTGGTGCATTTAATAGATTGAAGACTTTGATTATGAATGAAGCAAAATCTGCATACTTTATTCATTGTTTTGCTCACCAATTACAGTTAGCCCTAGTGTTTGTTGCAAAAAATTACACGAAGGTTAACGATTTCTTTGATGCGGTTTCTAGGCTATTAAACATTATTGGATCTTCCTACAAACGACGATATAATTTAAGAATAAAACAAGCGAATAAAGTTATGGAAGCATTGATTGAAGGTTTGCTTTAAAGTTGTACTAGATTTATCATTAAAATATTTTGTGGTTATGTTATTCTAATTAAACTTTTATATGGTAAATTTTATGTGAGCTTGAGAGTGGTACCGGTTTGAACCAAGAAGTGGGTTTCAAACGACCATCTGATACTCGATGGGGTTCTCATTTTTCATCTCTATTGAATATCAAGAACATATATTCTTCCATTTGTGAAGTACTTGATGACCTTGGTAGAGATAATAGTGATCGTGATCGTAAAGCTGAAACGATTCGTATCTTAAGGTTATTAAAATCCTTTGATTTTGTGTTTTGTCTACACTTGATGGTTGATATCTTGGGAGTCCCAAATCATTTAAATACAACATTACAAAGAAAAGACAAAGATATCATAAATGCCATGAATCAAGTAAGTAGCTCTAAAAAAGCAATTCAAGAAATAAGAGATGTAGGATGCGAACCACTTTTAGGGAATGTTACTTTGTTTAGTGATAAACATGATGTTAGAATTGTGGGTATGGAAGATGAATATTATGATGGATTCAATCGTCGAAGAGGTTCACAGGTAGGTAACATTTGATATTACCAACTTGATTTATTTAATGTGTTTTTTCATTAGCATGTTAAATATATATATATATATATATATATATATATATATATATATATATTTTCAGGTTAACAACTTGCACCACTATCATGTTGATGTATTTACGGCGGTGATTGATATGCAACTTCAAGAGTTTAACCATCGCTTTAATGAAGCCAACATGAAATTACTTCTTTGCATAGCTTGTTTGTGCCCGCGTGAGTCTTTTAAAGCCTTTGATTTGGATAAACTAATGGAAATGGCTACACTTTATAGGGAAGACTTTCC